GGGCCCCGCCGGCCGGGGCTCGGCCAGGAAAAACACACTTTTTTTTTTAGTGTTTTAGTGTTTTTTTAGTGCTCGGTCTGGGAAAAAAAAAAAAAACAAAACACCTCTTTTTTAGGGTTAAACGACCGTCGCTGGCTCAGGAAAAAAATAATCCTTTTTGGCTTTAAACGTCTCCGCTGGCGGGGCCCTGGGAGGGGATGGACCCGCTCCTCTCCAGTGCTCTTTGTGGGCTTTGCCTTTGTTATCGATGGGAGAGCGGGGTGTGTGTGTGTGCATCCCCAAATTTCCAGGGTGATCCTTAATTCAGCACTTCCCAAAAACAACCATATCCTGAACTTCTCCTTGGTTTTATGCTTCCTGTGGGCTTTGCCTTTATTATCATTGGAAAAGCTGCGTGTGTGTATGTGTCCACTCCCAAATTTCCAGAGTGGTCTCTGGCCCTTAATTCAGCACTTCCCCAAAAAAGAGCCATATCCTGAACTTCTCCTTGGTTTTAGTTCACCAAAATGGGTGTGTTTTAACAAAACAGGTAGCAGTGGTTTCACTTGCAGTGATTTCGCTGATGTTTAAGCCCCGGGATGGCAGGGATGGGAATCAGTGGGTGGGAATGACTTGTGAGCCTGGGGCGATGGTGCTCAGGCCTCCTGCCTCCAACATCACCCTCACATTTCAGGTCATTTCTACCATCACCCCACGTTCACCCCAAACTCTTCCACCTCCCCGTGTTCTCTGTGCCCTTCAGGTCCATCCACACGGGTGTCACGTTGTTGTCACACCGTCTCTTAGCAGTGGCTCGGCCAAGATATATATATTTTGTCATTTTAATCTTTCCTCATAACTCAGCCTCCTGCTCCTCAGTACATGCAATCCTGAAATCCCCTGATTGCAGGGGAAGATTTAGTGCCGTTTTCTGCCGCTGCAGGGCGAACAGCACAGTGTTTGATCTCTCCAAGGGTAGCAGGAAGTGTTAGCATTTAATCCCTTGAAGCTTTTGCCGTTTCCTAAGCCTGCCTAATCATTTTTGTTTTAGGTTTAAAGAGCATTTCAGATGGAGATGAGGAGAGCATGACCAAGCCATTAAGAGAACAGTGGTGACTGCATGGAGGAGGGAGGATGAGGATGGTCCCCCTGGGCAGCACAGGATGGGAGTGGGTGGTTTCCACCAGCCAGCAAAACTTGGGTGGTGTCTTGGGCCAGGACTGGGACTTGGGACTGTTCCTCTCTCTACTACAGATCCCCACAGTGAAGGTGAAAGCTTGGGACCAGGCAGAGGAGCCCAAAACCCAGAATCGGCTGAGAGCTGAGTCAATTTGTGATTCACATCAGTGTTGTTTCACCTGCACAGCCAAGGGAGAAAGGAGAAGCTTCCTTCTGCCAGCTCCACCATAGAGGAAAACTTCCATGAAACTCTACAGCTGCTCTTCACTCTGACCTCCCCATCCATCACAGAACCTGTGCTTGGGCCATGGGAAGGAGATGGGAGGAACTGGATTAGCAGAGGACTGAAATGGTGTCTGGGAGCAGAGACAGGAGTGAATGAGGTGAACACTCAAGCACTTTAGATGTGCTTTAATACTTCCCGGCCCCATTAAGGTGTGGAGAGCTGTTGTTGACCTCAAATAACCCAGCACGTACCTTTACAGCACAAAATGTAACAGGACAAATGGACTTGGTTGTCTGGGAAATGAGCAAGAGCAAGAGGTGATATGAGATGACAATGCCTGGAGCTCCCTCGGTGGAGGAGACCTGACAAGGTTGGTTGGCAGAGCTGAGGTGATCCTGTTTAAATGAGAGGCTCATTTTACAGCTGAACCATTTCCAGTGTCATCAGCCACCACATAAAGATGACAAACGGGAGAATTATTTGATAGGAAAAAGAATGAAAAGACAAAAGGTCAAATAATTCAGGGTGTCTGCTGGGAGCTGATCCTCCTCAAGAGAGAACAAACCCAGCAGCTCCTGGCTCTGCACTGCTGGGTCCTGAGATTACAGCACTCAGGAAGAATGTTAAATATCCAGACTTCTGCTGTGTGGCACACCTGTATCAAAGGGAATCCCAGAAAAATAACAGGGAAGACTTCCACCAAGAGAATTCACCCAGCAGGAAAAACTATCCCAGATTTTCCCTTTGTCAGGAGGGAGAACTTTAAGAAAAACAGCGAGAAATTGGTGGCAGGGATGAAAAACTTGGAGCAACCTTTTTTGCAGGAGATGGATGGGTTTTCCATGTGTCAGAGCACAGGCAGTCACTCCACATTCCAGGGCAGCATGCTGGGAGAGCAGAGGAACCCTGTCCTTGTTTCAATCCATGGCCCTGTTCCCATTGCCTGAAACCCTGGATCAAAAGCCAAACCCATCACAGAGCAATGGAATGAGGCTGTAAAACCTGAGCTCTGTGCTCGAATGGAAAAAGCACCTGGAAACAGAACCCCCCTCCCCGGGGAAGCAAGTCCTGACCAGACTGAGGCTCAAAAACATTAATCCTCTGGAAACTGTAAGGAACAAGGAGTAGCCAAGTCTGGTTTCACGTTGGGGTTTTTTGGAGGGGATGAGAAAACCAGAGGTGACATGGAAATCACAGAGTTCATCCCAGAAAATGAACGGCCAGCAAAGGCTGCGGAGGGAAATGAAGTTTGAGACATTTCAAAGTAAACCATTCAGTTGAAGGGCAAGAGCCAATTCCCATGTCTTGCATTCCTAGCTCCTCCCTGGCCTTTCCTACTGAGGAGGAACAATCCAATCTGTGGGTCACTTACAGTCTGGACACCGTGGCTCTCCCTGGACGAAATCATTCACAAAGCAGGTGTTTTATTGAGAGGACTCCCAACTCCAGCACGGTACCTGCTGGAGGCTACACAGGGAATGAAGCCAGAGAGCCAAACGTGATCAGGAGGAGCTGCTGGAACTCTGCTGGCACTGGGAGCCAGTGCTCGTGCATCACATCTGAAACAATCAGATAAATAGATCAGATCAAAACGTATGTGGAAAAATACTCTGGCTGCCAGGCTTTTGAATTCAATAACCAATTCTGCTGAAAGCCTTCCAAGGGAATTTAATAACGCCGTAAAAATGAAGTGTGGGTTACAAAAAGATGCATTTGTTTTCTGGATGGTTTTGTCTTATCTCCGTGTAGGCCGAGCGACAGCAGCCTCAGCGATAGGGATTAGTTTTCATCTCCACCACTAATGCAACTTTCTGTTATCAGAACTTCATTTTACAGGAAATTCCTTCTGATATAAAATATCACATGCTCTGGCGGTGAAAATTAAGATGGTAATCACGGCTTCTGAATTTGAATGTAACAGGGGAAATGGGCAATAACCCAGGCTGATCAAATTGCTTGGTGGCTCAAAGTAGGGAAAAAACACTAAAAAAGCAACCACAGACAACAGAATCCCCACTGATGTCCCACACGCCTGGGACAGAAAGGCAGGAAAGCAGCTCAAAGACAAACATCTTCCCAGATCCTCCCATCAGACATTTAAAGCCAAACCTCTGGTTCAACGTGACACCCCATTGATTGACCTGCTCACAGTCTGGAAACCGAGGGGTTCCCCTCTGGGTGGACAGAGATCCATCCCCCCCACCCACCTGGCAGGAGGAATACGGGCCCAAATCCCACCCAGGGCTCCCAAGTTCTGGTTGAGCAGGAGCCTCCAGCCAAGGCTCGAGGAAGGGAAGGGCAGAAGCATTTCAAGACACCAGCAGGACAAACATTTCTGTTACCTGCCTTGCCGTAGGACAGAAAAATCCCGGTTATGGATCAGGGCCAGGCCTTGGAACAAAGCTGATCCTTGGAATAAATCTTTACTCCTGCTAAACACAGGCATGCTTAACTTGATGCCTGTGATTAATCCTCTGGCCCCCGGGGATTTCAGTGATGTCTGGGAGCACAGGCAGAGGCATTTGCAGATGTGGGATGCCACAAACAAGCTCCTGCTCCCTTGTGCAGAAGAGAAAACAACCAATGTAATGTAACACCAAGCACCTATTTCTAAAGGAAACTAGAACCATGCTGTTTATTTTAGGGGTTTAAATTTTTCCAGGCGAAGTGTTCTGAGTTACTCCAAGAGCAGGACATTTTTATTTAAGGAATTCCCTTAATCCATTATAAAAATCCTCTGAGCTAGAACAGCTTCCTGGTATCCAAATCTCTTGGATAACACAGCTCACTCCCAAGATGTTTATTTACCAACAACCATTCCTCTAGGCCAGACTTACCAGCCAGTATCTTTATCCCCTGGATAATGCTAAGTCCCCATCTGACAATCTTATTTCTCTTGGGGAATTACAAAGGCAGGAATTTAGAAACAACATTTTTTTGTCTTCACAACCTGCTCGAAGCAACTCCTATTTTCCCCAGTCGCTGAATGAACCGATTATCGAGAGAATGTCACAAGAATGAACCAAAATCCTCCATCCTCAAAGGCCACACAGCTTTGCAGTGATCAGAGGGAATGCTGATCCCAGATCCAGAAATTCAAGAGAGCTGGAAATTGCTGTTCATACACTGGCTGGATTACTCTAGAAAGCAACATCATCTATTGTGCAAAACTCTTTAAATCAACCAGTATTGTCACCTAGTTATTCCAAACATAGTGTAACAGGTATTTTACAGGATCAACCAGAAGAGGCATTTTATTTTACAAGACTTTTATTCTGTTTCACAGATTTGACTATTACAGCAGTGAAATTATTACAAGTGACTCGTAACACTTAGCTCCAAATAAAAGTAGAAAAACACAAAAACGATGAAGGAAAGTTAAATGAGATGTGTGGTAAATGTGTTTTAGGAGCACAGATAAAGTATATAAAAATACATTAGGATCAAGGATTTTGCAGAGAGGTTTTGGTTCAGTTACAATTTTGACACCACAGAGTCACAGAATCACGGAATGGCAGAGGCTGGACGGGACCTCCAGGGTCCACCTGCCCCAACCCCCAGCTCAAGCAGGGCCACCTGGATCCCAGGGCTGTGTCCAGGCAGCTTTTGAGTATCTCCAAGGATGGAGACTCCACAGCCTCCCTGGGCAAGCTGTGGCAGAGCTTGGTCACCCCCAGGGTAAAAAAGTGTTTCCTCACGTTCCCCGTGTTCAGTTTGTGCCCGTTGCCTCTGGAACTGTCACTGGGTTCCACTGGCATGAGCCTGGCTCATCTTTGCACCCACCCTCCAGGTCTTTTTATACATTAATAAGATCCCCCTGGAGCCTTCTCTTTCCAGACTAAACAGTCCCAGCTCTCTCAGCCTTTCCTCAGAGGAGAGATGTTCTAGTCCCTTATTATCTCCTTGGCTGTTTGTTGGACTCTCTCCAGCCTGTCCATGTCTCTCCTGTACTGGGGTGCCCAGAACTGGACACAGCACTCCAGGTGTAGCCTCACCTGTGCTGAGGGGAGGAGAAGGAACACCTTTCCTTGCTCCAGCCTTCCCCCCCAGTCTGTGGAACCTGGGAGTCCTGGTCCTGCCAGTCAAGACAGAGGCAAAGGCAACATTTGGTATCTCCACCTTTTCCACGTCCTGTGTAACAGGTTTCCTGTCTTGTTCAACAGTGGGCCCTCATTTTCCCAATCTTCCTTCTGTATCCTATTTTCTTATAGATGCCCTTCTTCTTGTCATTGACATTTCTGGCTGAATTCAATTCCATTTGGGCTTTAGCTTCCCTAATGTCAGCCCTGGATGCTCAGACAATGTTTCTGCAGTGGTCCCAGGTTACCTGTCCCTCCTTCCACCCTCAGCTTCCTTGGTGTGTCTGAGTTTGACTGGGAGTTCTCTGCTCATCCACAGAGCCCTCCTGGCATTTTTGCCTGACTTCCTGCTCACTGGAATGGAACTCTCTTAAGCTTGGAGGACATGACTCTTGAATATTTACTGGCTTTCTCAGGCCCCTCTTCCCTCCAGCTCTGATCCCATAGGACTCTTCCAAGCAGATCTTTGAAGAGGTCCAAGTCTGCTCTCCTGAAGCCCAGGGCTGAGCTTGCTTTTCCCCCTCCTTCCTGCCCTCAGGATGCTGAACTCACCAGCTCATGGTCACTTCAGCCAGAGCTGCCTTTGACCTTCACATCCCCAGCGAGCCCCTGGCTGGTGTGAGGCCAGCAGAGCCCCTCTGTTGGCTCCTCTGTCACTTGGGGGAGGAATTTATCATCAGTCCACTCAAAGCACCTCCTGGATTGCTCATTCCCTGCTGTGTGTCCCTCCAGCAGATACCAGGAGGGTTGAAGTCCCCCATGAAGACCAAGGTCTGCAAATTCAAACCTGATGCTGCTCCTACCTGTCTGTGGAGGGTCCGATCCTCTTGTTCTCCCTGGTCAGGTGCCTGCAGCAGACACCCACTGTAAGGTCATCTTTCCCTGTCCTCTCTCTAATCCCAAGCCCTGAGCTCTCAGCTGGCTCCTCATCCATCCCCACACACTCCACATCAAGGGCAACTCCCCTTCCTCATTCTCCTGCCCTTCCCAAAGTGCCCCCAAAGCCCACCACCAGAAAGCACAGTATGTTGAAAACTGTTCATTGGAAAGCTGATAAATCCAAGAGCATATAAAAGGCAAAAATGAAACAGAAAAAGGAAAGGAGGATGTGTGTGTGTGTTTGTGTCTATTTTATGGCAAACTTCCAGTCCTTTGGCCACTATAAAGCAAAATCAGTGGATTTCATATAAATTCTCTGTATAAAGGAATGTCTATGAACTGTGTACAATATGGCCCAGAATAAACATCTCATTATCAGGCTAATAGAGCTCCTCACAGAGGAAAAGAAGGTGCTTACATCATGGTTCCATCTTCCCAGTAGAATACTGTCCGGAATTGGACTAGTGCCCCAAAATACCATTTTAGGAACAACAGGGATTCCTTTAATGGAAAGGAAAAGCAGTGACCCACAGAAGCAGGTGCTGGGCAAGGGCCTCACTGCTGCACAGCTGCTTTAAAGTTCGTGTGGTTGACTGGCAGGGGATGAGCCTCGGTGTTGAACACCCAGTCGTCCAGGGACAGCACGTCATCTTCACAGAACAGAAGATAGAGGTACCTGGAGCCACAGGGCAAGGAGATGGACACAAAGGGAGGTCAGAGGAAGCCCAGGTGGGACCCCAAGCACGCACAAGCAGCAGGACTGTGATGGGGCTGCCATTGCCCACGGGTGTCACAATCTGTGGTGGCACATTTCCCGACCCCCTGGCTCACTCTCCTGCTGGAAACCACCACCCCTGGGGCAAAAAGGGATGAGCATCCATGCTCAGCCCCCCCAAACATTCACACAACCAGCAAAGCAGACCTGCACCAAGGGGCAGCAGATTCAGGCCACAGTCGTGCCTCCTCTGAGTGCAGGACATGAACCTGGCAGAGGACAGGGCTGCCTCTTAAACCATCAGAGGCAAATTCAAGGGAGATCAGCAGCCAGAGCCGCCCACTTAGAGCAGCTCTAAGGCACAAGGAAGAGAGTTCTTTAAATCCAGCACATGAGCAGGAACCTCGAGACCAAGGACAGCAGTGGTTCTACAGCAGGAAACTGCCAAAGCTTCAGAGCACCCAAAGCCTGCCCAGTTTTCCCCCCAGAGCCACAGAATGGTTTGGGTTGGAAGGGACCTTAAAGATCACCTCCTTCCAACCCCCAGCCATGGGCAGGGACACCTTCCACTAGAAGAGAAGACTTCCTCCTTAGTACCAGAGACTTATTGCAGACCAGAGTGTTGGTGCTGCAGGAATTATGCTACTCTGAAAGGCCTCTGTGACACCAGACTTACTTCAGAGTCTCTGCGAGGAAAAAACTCTGTTGCATGTTGTCGTGGGTTGGGGTTGTGGTGTAAACATCTCTGATGCCAGAAAAACCAGCTTCTACTCTACAGTGTTTTTCCAGGGCCTGAGAAAGAAAAAAGAAACCTCAGTGACACACAGCAGCGTGGAGCAACTCATTAATCATCATCAGCTGCATTACCAGCCAGCTGTACAAATCAAATTCCAGGTTTATCACAGCCTCTGTCCCTCACTGAAGAGTGTGGTGATTGCTCCAGACTCTGGGAATCAAGATAGCTCTAATGAAATAGTAAGAGAAACATCAGCCACCTAAGTTAGGTGATTGATTGACCTTGACACCACACAAACAGCAAACTCAGATCTCCAGAGGCAGCTCAAGCTGTTTGTGGGGCCTCTTTTCCAGGGCAAGCACACAAAGGACAGTTCTGCCACTGGAGCAGCCCCTGCCAGGACATGGGGCAGCAGCCAAGGGGCTTTGCATGAGCTGGGAATGGGTAAGGGGCCTTCTGACTGTGAGGTCTTTGTAGGAAGAAGACACAACAAAGGACAGAGGCAGCTTTGCTGGGTTTCCCTGGCTAACTACAAACCAGTGGTGCTGAGCACTCCAGAGACTTCAAACACAAGGCTGACTCCTTTTTGCAGAGGGTTTTTACATTAATGGGAGGTTTTGCTGTCTGCAGCACTCCTGTCCACAAACCTCCACTGCCCTGACTGACTGTAGCCCAAAAGGAGGAGGAAACATCCACAACAATCAACAGAGATGCCACACCAAACTGAGCTATTTTGTGTATTCCTGCCCCATTGCTAATGTAAAATCACAGGGCTGAAAGGGACCTTAAAGATCCTTAATTCCACCCCCCTGCCACGGGCAGGGACACCTTTTACTAGACCAGGTTACTCAGAGCCCCATCCAACCTGGCCTTGAACACCTCCACTAATGTATCTCAACACCTAACACGACTTATAAATAATTTCTGCCTTTTTTTTTTTTTTCTACAGACCGAAGGAAAGATTTTTGTAGGAACCCAGCAAGAAAGTTGTTACCATGACTTCTTCAGGCTTACCTTGACCACCTCCCAGCCCCACTGCCTGTACTTGGGGTCGTGGGTGAGCCTCCACAGGTACATGTAGCTCTCCACCACCTCCGGCCGCAGGATGTAGTACCGCTCGCTCAGCCTGGTTGCCATGGCTTCACTCCCGGCATCAAAGCGAAAGGCTTCGGGGCCCAGTTTGGTATCTGCCCAAAATCACACACATGCAGGAGGACAAAACAAGTAAAGAGACCATCCAGGTGCTCTTATGTGGCTCAGGGCTGCCAACATTGAACAAAAGCTTGGATGAGCCTTTTCTTCTGGTTCGCTCGCAGCCTCTTTGGAGAGGAGACAAGGGGATGATGGGGAAGCTTAACCAACTTCACTGGGCTTTTAAAAATAAGGCATCAAGAGTACCTTGGTCTTTTTGAGTGTCCCTTACATAAGAGGGACACTCAAATCTCTTGCAGGCATTAACTAGCACTCAGATCCCCATTTGCAACACCTGTTTGAAAACAGGGAAACTGTAGAGGTTGCTTATGAGGTTGCCCAGAGAAGCTGTGGCTGCCTCATCCCTGGAAGAGTCCAAGGCCAGGATGGACAGGGCTTGGAGCAACCTGGGCTAGTGGAAGGTGTCCCTGCCCATGCAGGGTGACATGCACAGACAATTCTTGCAGAACACTGAGCCTGCTGAAATGCCAGCACTGAAACTCTGTGGGCAGCTTGCTGCTGTCCTTTCTGAGCTGATGGATGTTGCTGAAGGTGAAAATTGGCTCCAGGCACTCACAACCAGAGGGTTGTTAGTTCATGTGGTTTGTTTTAGCTCTGTAAGTGTTGGTGGGGGGGGAGGAGTTATTTGCAAACATCATTTCATGTTAGCTGGAAGTTTACTGGGCAAACGTGCTGGACACCGACTGCCAATATGGGCTTGGGGATGTGAGGAAGGTGTGAAACAATCTTTACAAACAGTTAGTGGAGGCAGACTTGTGCCTGACAGAGTCCTGGAAAGCTGCCTCGTTGCCTGCAGCCTCCCAGGAGCTGCAGAGATGCCTACAAAGAAAGGAGTGGTGTCCAAAACAGCTCCTGCAGGCAGAGAACTAACCTAGTCCTTCATTCATCACCAGTCCCTGCTCTCCCAGAGCACTGATAAGCACTGGGTGATGAAACAAATTTTACTGAACTTGTGAAATGAAAAGACTCACTCAGCCTCTGCTCAGACAGCTGGGAAAGGCTGAGCAACTTCATTTTTTTGGTTCCTGCCAGCAGCTGCAGGTCTCCAGCACTCCCCTCTTGGGCTTCTCAGCTGCTCTGCTCCATATAGTGGGATGCTTTGCAATTAATCTCTGTTAATCTTCCCTTCTTGTCCACACAGGGATGTGAAAGGACAGACTCAAACTACAGTCCTGTTGGGAGAAGGCTGGTTCTGTGACTGGGAGGCAGGACTAGGATTCAGCCCTGGGTTCAATTCCCAGCTCTGCCACAGGGCCTGACATCTGCCTGTCCCTCTGCTCCAGCTGCCTGCTGTGTAAAACATATTGCTGTCTCCTCCAGATACCCCAGAAAAGCCAAGTGAAAATCACACACAGGGATGCAGATGCTGCTGAAGCACAAAATACCCCACTGCAAACCTCTGCCACACAACCCTGAGCCTCCTGAGGCTGTGGGTGATCCCTCACTCACACTTCCAGGCAGCCCACGGGTTTACCTGAGCGTGCATAAGACTCGTGACATGTGTTTGTTATTTCTGCAGCCAGATCCATGTGCCTCTGCCTCCTCTCTTCTCCAGCATCTTCAGCTCCAAGTGCAATCATGCCCCCAGAGAAACAAGCCAAGTGGCCCATTTTGTGGTCCAAGATGCCTCCCCTCCACTCAGCGATGTAGGTCAATCCTCCAGCAGACTTTTTGACCAAATGCTTTTCTATTGCCTAAAGGGATGAAAATCAAGGCTTCAAGATACTTAGTGGACAGTAAGTAAAACTTACTCACTAAGTATTTCAAGATACAGGAGTGAACACCAAGGAAACCCAAAGATCCAAGACATTCTGAAGACCTGAAACCTTCCTGAGAATAATGTCCCCCCCAAAAAAAAACACAGAGCAGCAACCTGCTCCTTACCTCTAGTGCATCGTCGTACATCTTTTTAGCTTCCAAGTCCTTCTTGTCTGACATCAGCCAAGATTTGATGAGATATTCATAAAAGCTGTCCCCAAGCCCCCCAATGGAGACGTGGTCTGTAGTGGGAAAGCCAGAAAAGAACCTCAGGTTCATGGCATACAATGAGCAGTTGCTTTACAAAGGGGAAACAACCACGTCCTATTTAATGCCCTTGTTCTCTCCTTCCTCTTCCCAGTTTTCCTGGGGAGAGCTTGCAGCATTTCTTTTTCAAAGGGGAAGAAAGGTGGAAAGTGCAATCAGAAGAAAAATGTCCTGTCATTTTACAGAGCATTAATATCCCTCACCAAAACCATTCAGAGGTCTTATTTTACAAGTTATTTATACTGCAACCTGAAGATGCTTCCTGTTTATGAAGTGATCATCATAAATCCCACCCTCATAAACCAAGAGCAGTGGGGGGGGTGTTGATAGATCTCCATGTATATGAAGCCCCTGGGAGCTGTCTCCCTGCCTCAGGAAAGGGAGAATGTGTGTTCTATCCCACAGAGCTGCCAGCAAGGGGCTGCTGGAGGGACTTCTCCGTCGTGCCATTTGTATTCCTGGCTCACAGTGGGACTCTGTGCCCTGGGGAAGGCTGGGGTTGCTGGCGTATTAAAATGATAAAGTCAGGTACAAGGATGTGCACTGAATATCTCCCTCTGCAGAAATCAGATTTCCAGGGCTGTCTGCTCAGAGAACACCCTGCTCTGACCTTACAGGGGGATGCTGAAGGATTGCAGTGCGAAATGGGCACGACAGCTGCAGGTTTGTGCCCGGGGGGAGCTGCTGGATGGATTTATGGCTTTAAACTGCACCACGGGGGGAAGAGCAGCGTTCACTCTTCAAGCAGCCAAGCACTCCCCTTTCTAGGAGAGCAAGACAAATTACCCACCGTGGACTAAGCAGCCCCTGTTAATTAACAGTGTCCACCCCTGGGTCTGCACCATCCTCATTTCCAAGGGAAGCAGATGCAGCAGGTGCTCGGACTTAAATGTTCGGATTTTTGTTTTCCTTTGCCTTGTACAAACATAAAGTCCCAAGGCTTATTCTAAATGCTAAATCCTACCAGCAGAAGAAATCAACAGCCATGCATTTTCCTGACCTGAAGAGCAAACATCCCTGATACACTGTGTCCAATGATCCACGGAATAATCCATAGCAAAACAATGGGATTAGACGCATGAATTCAGTGGGGGGGGAAAAAAAAAAGAGAGGACAGACTATTTGCAAACACCGGCTGCACAGCCTGTCTTCAAAGAGCAGCTCTGTGATCCTAAGTGTGTCATTCATAAAATCACCAAAGCAGGAGCTCTGGTACATAATTGCTTTCCATATGGCATCAGCTTTGCCAGCGTTTGCCTCCCAGGCACTCTGCATAAACAAATCTCCTCTTTCAGCAGGGGACTGGGCTTTAATTTTCTAAAGGTAACAACTGCACTCAGAAGAGGTACAGCACAGACTTTTCATTTAGGAGATCTGCTCATCCAACCAGGTCAGAGATACACCTTTTAAGAAAATCACAGCAATTTCAAGAAAAACGGCTTCCTGCAAAGAGCTTTAATGGCAAGAGAGAAGATGAGAGAAGATGAGAGCCTGGCACCTACAGGGAACAGGCTGCAGCTGCCTCCCTGCTTTGGTCCTCATCTCTTTCTCACCAGATGCAGAAGGGGCTGATCAGTCTTTTCGCTCCTTGGAATATGGATTGAGATCACAAGGTCATATGATGAGCAACTGCCACAAACAGCCTGTGCCATGGGCTGAAAGTCTGTCTGGGAGTCAGGTTATTTGCAGGCTTTGGCATAGATCTGCCTATCCCTGAACCAGTAATCAGAGGCTACTTTTAATATGCTCTGAAAACCAGCAACAGGCCTCTCTTTACGTCAGCAAGGGGTGGGAGCAGGTCAGGGCAATGAAGTGAAATCTGCAGGCATAAAATAGAATTAAATCAGTGGCAGAAGAGATGAGTGCTGGGTATCCAGCCGAGAATCGTCCCCACCTGGGTTAAGAGCACAGCTCCTCAGTTTCCCAGAGATTCTGTAATGACCAGTTATGGCAAAGCCAGGCACTTCTCCTCCTCTCAGCACCACCAAACAGGCAGAACTAATGCTGGTGTCTGGTGGAATGTACAGCGTGGAATTGGGAGCTGCCACTGGGAATAACCTCAAGGAAATGGGATCTCAGGGTGCAGCAGGGGATGGGAGATGAGCTTTTCAAGTGGAACATATAACAACAACTCTGCAGAGACAAATGCAGAGGGGAAGCTGAACTGCTTACAAAGGGATGGGATAACTCTGAAGATCAATTACTGGGTTGAACAGAAACCTGTTTTCTTTCCCCACGGCCCCAAAGGACAGCTCTGGTTTAACAGGATAACTGTGACCATCCAAGACACTTTGCTGGGACACCTGTCAGTCACCATTAGAGGTGCTCATGTGGCAGCTGAAGGTCAGGGATTGCTCACAGCCACAGCTCTGTCCCTGCCTCAGCCACACAACTGCCTGTCAGGTACCATCAGAGCCATTAATACAGTTGGAAAGGCCTGGAGTGATCCAGCTGAACAAAGAGTGCAGCGAGACATGGAGACACCAGGTAATGTAAGGACTAAAAGCAACCTGCCCAGACAATAAATGTAACCCACTGACAGGTTCAAAACATCTTCTGCACAAAGAGACTTTTCATTCCTTTGACAGAGGAACACGAAATCCAGCAACCAAAACAAGCAAATCAATAAGAGAGCAGAAGGTTGAGGTCAGAGCAGCAGAAGTAGCACCTCCTGTTCCTAGCAGAGGGCAAACTTGGGTGACCCAAGAAGAGGGGTACAGTCTCTTCTCTGGGTAAGGAGGGGGCCGTGTGTGTAAAGCAGGAAAGTAAATAACCTGTCCCTGGGCACACTGCTTCTAATATTTCCCTGCTCTTTTCTAGCCCCTTCCTTGTTGTTGCTCCCCTTTCATACCAGGGCAGTATCTACTTAATGCCCACATCTCCCGTGCTGGGTTCTCAACAAGAGGAAAGAAAACATTCCTGTCTCATCCTTCTCGCACCAAACCGCACGATGCAGAGGTACCATGGTAACAGGAACAGGAGAGCACACAGGAGAATGCAGCCCCAGATCCGAGGGGGATCCAAGACTCTTACAAGCCCTCTGCCTCTCCAGGTGGCTCCTTACTTGCTGCAGCACATTCCAGAGGTAAATCTCACAGTGCTTCTGCTCAGCCTTCCCGTGCGGCTCCCGAGCAGGTCCACGGGCTCTGTGCTGACTGCAGGATGAAGTCTTAAAGGGATGTGCTGATTTCTAATATCTGTGTGATGGACCATGTACCATTATCCTCCCCCGTGCAAGAAAGGCCCTAATTCTCTCTGGAGGTGAGACACTCAGCTGGAAACAAGGCTGATGGAATAAGTGTGCAATTACTGTATTGCATCTTACAAATCGGGCTGTATTATCCAATCACATGTATAACAGGCTGCCTGACAAGACATTTTCTTGGCTTGCTGCTCTGACAGTTGCTACTGCTTCCTGAAGAAAAATGGAAAGACTGAAACGCTCCAGGCAGGGCTGAACACAGAGAGATACCTACGCTGCACCCAGTTCCCTGTCACCGGGCTGAGGAAGTTGGGATAAAGGCCCTGGGGCTTCTCCACTCTGTTGAGGACTCTGCGGATGTTCATCACCTAGGAGAGAGGAGAGACAGAATGGTGTTACTGCTCTGCTGACAGAGCTGGAGGCTTGCTCTGTCACCAAGGTCTCTAATTCCTCAGTGCTGATCCCTCCTGAACAGGCACAGCAGCCTGGAACACTGGGATCAGGCACAGCCCAGTGACACGGCTCTCTGGGATGGAGAAGCTTTTGGGCTGGACTGCTCAGCCCAATCTTTATCCAGCTCTGTGGGATTTTAGAAATGATTCTGAAAACCCTGCAAGGCTCCAGTTCAGCAGGCAGTGGAAGCAGCTCACTAACACGGTCCAGAAGCAATCCCAGGGAAACCTTATAGCACCTTCCAATACCTAAGGGGGCTACAAGAAAGCTGAGAGGGACTTTTCACAAGGGCATGGAGTCATAGGAAAAGGGGGAACGGCCTGAAGCTGAAGGAGGTCAAGTTTAGATTAAATTTTAGGAAGAATTCCTCCCTGTGAGGGTGGGCAGGCCCTGGCACAGGTTGCCCAGAGAAGCTGTGGCTGCCCCTGGATCCCTGGAAGTGCCCAAGGCCACGATGGACAGGGCTTGGAGCAACCTGGGCTAGTGGAAGGTGTCCCTGCCCATGGCAGGAGGTGGAACTGGATGATCTTTAGGGCTGCTGCCAACCCAAACCATTCCATGACTCTGTGATTCTGTGACTTGGGATCTGGGTGGGAATGTGAAACGTGAGAGATGCAGAGGGTGATTTTTTCCATGATCCAAAGGGAAAGGAGTGGCCAGGGATGAGTGACTCACACAGCACTAAAATTCACCACGTGGTCACTCAGCATGATGAATTGGGGCCTTTAATTTCAACGACAGGCAGCTCCTTTAATACCCCCAGAACAGCCACACTTACTCTCTAAACCCTCCCCTTGGTTTCACTCCCATTAAATCCAATAGGCCTCTCCCATAAGGGACCCAGTTAAATGCTGTGCAGCATAAATATTCTATTATAACCTACAGAGCAGCTAATACCCTCTAAACCTTTTATAAAATTAGACAATTTGTACGCCCAAAGCTGGCTACAGACTTAAGTCGGTGCTTCCAAGTAAGTCGTCAGGCTGCATAATATTTACTGAAGTTTAGGAGCCTGGCATATTAATGACATGTTTGAATAAAAGACACAGATGGACTTTATTCTTCCTAAAATCACAGGAGTCCCAAGCTGTGAGTTAATGAGTTGATCGGTTCCTCTGCAGTAATTTCCCACAGGATGGGCTGTTTGAGCCCACATCATCCTATATTTTGCCTCTCAGAGGGTGTCAGGATGAATGTGATATATTTTCTGTGCACACATCAGCTCAGGAGAGTCCATTAGAAAGGTTTTGCCCTTTTCCCTCCATGGGCTCAGGAGGAAAAGAGGAAAACATATAAGGCTGGGGACAGAGGCTTGACCCTGGCTCAAAATGCCACCACAGTTTGAGACTGGAATGTAGATGCAATTCTAGTTTTTAGCAGTGCATCTCCCTGCCCTTGTGTTTTCTGTGCTCATCTCTCCCCACACAACTCCCCTCCCTTCATTCCCTTCATTTCCTTCACACACATTTTCTTTCCAGACCACTGTTCCCTTTACTGGCCTTTTCTCAGCTCCCCCCTTCCTCTGAGCAATTTGTCATTATCACTGTCCTCAGGAATCTCTAGCTTGTCTCTTCAGTTCAAATCACCAGTCTTTCCTCATCTTCCTTACAGAGTTCCCTGGGTTTGTTTCCCTTCACCCTCTGCTTTTCTCTCCTGCTCACCCCCTGACATTCCTCTTGCTCACCCCACCCTTATTGCTTTCCAGACACTCCATCCTAGTCTCCACTTTGCTCTCCCAGCTTCTTCCTCCTCTTTCTTCCTGTATTTCCTTCAGATTCTCTCCTTGTTTCACATCTGACAGACCTGCACTGGACATACCCTGGGAAAGCATCATTTTGAGCTTTTTTTGACAATCCTGTAGCCACTGCCTGTTTTCACCCTGCTCTGGGACTTGGGACAAGCCCCATTTCCCTTGGGCTCATAGGAGCAGTTTGGATTCTAACTGGAGCAATTTGTCTCCCTCAGAGATGGTTCCAGAGGGACGAGCAGAAAAAGCTGATGAGTTGCTGGTATTTATTAAGATGTTCTCACATGCACTACAAGATCAGCTATGGAATAGAAAACCACAAGGTAATGTATAACACTAATAGATTTTCAGTTAAAGTTACACAAAAGGATGCAGCATGTCGACTGTCAGGCCTTTCCTACACAAAATAACCTCTGTAGAAATCTTGCTGGCTGGAGCACAACATTTAATGCCTGTTCAGAGTCAAAAGCTCTGCAAGTACAAGGCACTGCTGTTGGGATATCAGAATTAACAATTCCCTGTGCAGTCTGCATCCACTTGATGGTTTAATTTTGGCTGTGTCCTTGTCTGAGCAAAATTGCTACAACGTCACACACAGGGGGAAAAACATCCCAGAATTATGAAGAGACCAATTCACTAAAGACCAAGGTGGGAAGTACTTGCCTTTTCTGCAAACACCGGGTTGCCAGAGAGCTCGGAGAGGTGCAGGAATTCTAAGTGCAAGGTACCAAATTCTGCCAAGATGCTGCTTCCAGCTGATGCCCAACCCCAGCTCCAACTCATGCCACTGCAAGGAGAGAAAAGGGAGCCTTCATTGCCAGGAAAACACAGCCAAAGCCCGAGGTTCCCCCTGCCCCAGTGCAGATCTCCCTTTGCTATGGGCATGTGCTGCACACCAGGTCTCAACAGGGGCCATGGAAAGGACACACACGGATTTTCAGGACTCTCACAAGGAACAGTTCCAGTGGGATGGAGCAGCAGTTTTACAGAGGATTGCTTAGAATTGGGCTAATGCACATACTGGGAAAACACATTTTTTGTGGGAGAGGAATCGCTCCCAAACGGATCAGCCCCAAGCAAACCTTGTTAGAACACTGACACCCTGCCCTACACGAGACATTTTGGGGCAAAATGTGTCTGCAAGCAGCTTTGGGTTGAACTCTCACATCTTCAATGTCCTGATATTTTATGGAGAATCCAGACAGTCCCCAGGCACCTTGTTTCAAGGAGACCTCACAGTGTTCATGGCACTGACATTCCCAGTGTGTGCCCGCTCACAGGGCAACATGGGGAGAGGGGAAAGGTGCCACTGGGAACACCTGACTGGAAGGAAAAGCCAGGGGGAATCTTAACAGGAGAAATCTGACTCTGAGAGCACCCCACTGATGCTCATCTCACGTGCTTTGCAAGAACAGTAGGGCAGCAGAGCACTACAAACACTGCGTGAAGAAAGGCAGTTACATAAAGTGCCTTTGCCCCTGTGTTTGATGTACTGGGATCCCTTCTCAGGTTCTCTTTGACCTCCCTCATCTGCCAAGTCCAGGCAAAGAGAGAGATCAGCACTGAAGCAAAGCAAGGGATCGATTTTGGGGATGAGGAGAGCAACAACTCTCCCTTAAATCTTAAAGAAAACTAACCAAAGGATGTGGATCTGCTTTTACATTCGACCCCTTCCTCCTGGTGCCCCTCTGCTCTGTGCCCTCTTAAACCTACTCAGACATGACAGTGTCCTCAAGAATATAGGGTTATATACATAAGGACCTCGAGCCCCGGTCCCAAACCAGCCTCTGCAGGTGCTGGCCCAGGGAAGTTTGGCTGAGCCACCTCAGACGTGACGCAGCTTCGATTTTCCATCCCTTTGCAGTTAATTCCCGGGAGGTGACAGCTTTCCAGGGATGGGGGTGACACTAGATGGCGCCTGGAAGCTTGGCTGGGAGAAGAGGAGGGTTTGTTGTTTACAGGAGGCTAAAACTAATGATCCTTCCGAGGAGGAGGAGAAAAAAAAAAGAAAAAAAAAAAGAAGTTTTCCCTCCATGTGATATACGGAAAACCATTCCAGGTCCAGAGCTGTTTGTTTCGCCTCCAGACAAAAAGAACCATTAGATAAGCAATATGTTCACGCTGTTTCAAATTGCTCAGTCACTGCCAAACGTCAGCCTGCCCTGCAAAATGTCAGGAGGCTGCAGCACCACTTTTCATTTGGAAACGCCGAGTGCAGCTCAAATGGGCACCCCAATAACACGAGGGTTTATGGCAGAAATGTTCTGTGCAGGCAGGAGGGGCCCGCAGTCCGACCAAGGTGAATGTGGAATTAAGATCACAGTGGCCATATCTGCTGACCCTGGCAGCAGCTGGCCCTGGGCTGGGTGAGCTGAACAACCCCACAGTGTTCTCACACCTATAAACAGTCAATTACTTTTTCTTTATTTACTGCACCGAAGGGACGCTGTAACGAATACGATCTCACAAACAGAAACTGCCTTCCCAGCCAGCGTGGATCAGGAGTGCTGGAAGCAGCCAAATGGGGTTGTGTTTGTTGTGACAGCAGCTATGTGGGGTCACAGAGGCCGACACAACCCTCTCCCAGGGAACTGCCCTCCCAAAAACACAGCAGGGCATGGAATGTGCTGCCGGGAGCCCGAGCCTTGGGTTAAAAATCGCAGCAAAACTCGTGGAGAGGGGGCCTGGGGGAAACAAGAGTCTGTCTGCAACATGTCCCTGGGTTAAAGAGCAGCGTGGAATGACTCTCTGGAGGAAAACATTTTTTCAGCATTACAGACTGGACAAACTGGGTCCTCACAGCTGCCCTGTTTTGTAACATCTCAGAGGAAGCCACTGTTCAAAGGGGCTTTTTCAAGGGAAAAGAACATGCCCAGAACTCTCTTTATCCCCCACATAAGTGGGTCTCCCTTAAACACTGTCTAGTGCAAGCATGGACTGAAATGTTGCATCACCTCCTTCCCTCATGGAGATCCAAGGCAGCAAACCAGTGCCAAGTCAAGAGAGAAGCCAGCAGAGAATGATGAGGAAAAATCTGGAGGTGAAGAGGGTTTAGGGGAGATGAGAAGGAAAGCAGGGGCCAGGGATACAGCACAGAAGGCATCAGGAGAGATATCACAGAGCAACACAGAGAGCACAGAGCAGCAGCTGGAGAAGACAAAGTACTCCAGGACCTGGCAGACAACGTGGCAGTTGGAGCAGCAGGATGGAAAACAAGCCTGTGTGAGATACGATCCAGTGCTCATGGAAAACAGGCACAGGGAAGGACATCAGCAGAGAGGGGACACAGAGGAAAAGGTGGTGTGAGCTGATAGTAAGAGATAAAGCCAGTTGGCCATGGAAGAGATGGGGGGTGGCTGTCTTTGTGCTTGGGCCCTCAAAAATATGCAGAATTGTCCTAATGCCAGGGGTGTTCTAAATCAAATTTCTGAATGTCATTCTTAACCCACCCCCCCGAGCAACCACCAACATAAGCCCACACAGGCTGCAAGACTCTCCTTTTGGGATGAAGATGTCTCTCTGGAATTTGCAAAAGTAGAACTGGAGGGAGAACTCCTTCTTGCAAAACTCCTCTGGGCTTTGGTTTGGCCCTGACTTTGGGTCAGTGTGCTCTCACAGCATCACCTTGATCTCCTCCTCTGCTTCCACTTCCACACACTCCCTTACACCGAGTAAATCCCTTCCCCTTTGGGTTTACAGCCTTTGGCTGTTCATCACGTTCCTGCAGCAGTCAGACTATGGATGCAGCTCCCTTCATCCCTGCTCCTAAATCAATTGATGCTCCAACCCTCACAGCAGTTTCACAGCCCTGAAGCCAGAGCTCAAGGCAGTAACAGGGGTTCTGGATGTGGGCTCAGTGTTATGTTGATTTTCTTTGCTCTTAGTCAAGGTCATCAGCAAAACATTTTGGGAATGTCTAGGCAGACACAGGCTGCTTCAATTGTCTTCACAAAGAGCAGGGGAGGGTTTGGCATTTCTGTGAAAGGTTAGCCTCTGCCGAGCCTTTATCAGCTGCAGAGGAAGCAGGATGTCTCTTCTGCAAAAAGAGACAATTATAGTCGTGGTGGTGGCTCAAATTTTCACTGGGATCATGAGCACATAAGACAAACGAAGGGTGACGGTGATATTTGAGCAACGGAGCAGCACGAGCCAAATATTTGGAAGTCTTGTGCTTCTGCAGAGCCAAAGAGGAGATTTGGGCTAAGAGATGAATAATGACTTTCATGGCTGCTGCTCCCAGTTTTGCAAGAGGTGAGGATGAAAGGCTTTTGTTAACCCACATTTCCTGCTGTCTGTCTCAGCTCTTACCCGGGGGATTTGTTTGGAGGCATCAAAACAAGCAAATCAGCCCTTATTGGCAGGGAGCAAGAAGCAGAGACCAGGAGTGCAGCCTCCAGCTCTGTCTCTGCTTGCTGACAGACCTCCAGCAGGTATTTAACTCAGCTGCCCCAACGCTCCCCTCTGGCATGAGAACATCCCCTACCTGACACAGAATGCTGGGGCTCCAAGGGAAGGACACACCTGGCTGAGTGCTGCTCACAGGGACACCACCAGAGGATCTGTATTTTCCCCTCTTTTCAGCAGCAAAACTGTCAGCCAGTCCCATCCACCCCCTTTCCCACTTTTGCCAAGCATGAAGCCTGGATAAATTCACATGCATCTAGTTGGGCAGACTGCAAAAATCCACGCTGCGTGCAGACTACAAAACAACCTTTCAAAGAAAATGAGAGTGAGGAAAATGCTATTGCAGCAGGGAGCCCTGCCAAGAGGTAGAGGGAGAAACTGTGGACAGCCCAAAATTAATAAAACACAGCTGGGTTTGACTTGAGTCACCTGCGATCTCTGCCAAGGCACCTCTTGGGTTTGAGTTGGCAAAACAAATGACCTCGAAGAATCTGCACTGGAAGGGGGCACCTCTGAGGAACTGCTGCTGTTCCTGCTCGAGCCCTGGGCTTTTACAAATGCTCAGCACTAAAGGGATGTGTCTGTAAGGACGTGTGTCTTACCTGCCCAGATTTATGACGCCACGTGGGATTCCAGTGGGGGTGTTAAAAGCTGGCAAAAGTTTCTCTCCGAGTTCCAGAGCTTTACTCTTGAACACCTGTTAAAAGAAGAAGAGAGGATAAGTGTTTGAATGATTCCTTGTGAATAAGAGTCACGTGGGATTCTTTCAAATCCGCTTTTTCAAGCATGTCATCATAAAAAACTGCAAGAATCCCCTGTTTCAGGTGTGCTGCTGCCCTGCTTCCACTGACAGATCTGAACCAAGAGTCACACTGAATTTTGGTATCTCTCTGAATTTCCTCTAAGATCTACACTAAACCTGTGCCCAGTCCCCTGCCAAACCCTCAGCCTGGACAAGAGCAGCCAGAGCTCACAACACCCCCAATACTTTGGCAGTAAATCCCTATGATCTGAGCTGATCCAAAGGATACTCTTTGGGGACAAATTTTTCCCTTTCCCAGGGTGGCTGAGGTGAAATGACTGAATTAAAATCAAAGGAAATCTTTCTAGGGTGAAGCACTGTTAAGATTTTCAACATGGGTTTGTCCAGCTTGTGTCATCTCCTGTTGTAAAAACCTTGATTTCCAAAGAGCAATCTTTCCCTTGCAACTCTTTTCCAAGAGGGATTCATGGTTTCATGGCTAAGCTGCTCCTTTTCCATTTTTAATGCCTCAGTTTGGGGCCTTCAAGTCAAATTATAGCTTATGGTGGTTGCAGCACAGGGCAACCATCCACAATTATTTTGGGACAAACTGATACAAGCACTTATCTTTGCTCCAGAGATTAGTCCTGATCAAGGGAAGCCTGTAAGTGACTTAGGAGATAAAACACAAGCCTTTTACCTCTAGCCCTGTCGTGGTAGTGCTCAGAAGGCAGGAATTTATTGCTCTAAAAATACAGCACTGAGGAAACCTGAGCTCTCCTGTGGGCTTGCAGACCTTTGATACACTCACAAGGAAAAAGGGGGTTGGTTCAGAAGGAAAAGCAAGAGACAGGGCCTTGATTTTTGCCTTTCAGCCCAGTGACACTGACTGGGTAAATGACAGGCACTGCCCTGGCTGCTGAGCATCACTGCTGACTGGACTTCAAGAGGTCACTGCTGGAGTTTTATGGCTTAATGTGGTTTCTTTTTTGCTCTGTTGATCTGAAACCTGTTGAAGTTGTCACTGAGACAGACTCCAAGTCAGGGCACTGAGTCTTTGAGAGCTTTCCCTGGAGGGAAATCACGGAGAGAAGTCATTCCTGGAACTCATTTAAAATGCAACTAAAGTAACAGAGCTGCTCCTGTGACTCCTCCTCGGATCAATGGTGTCACTCTGCAGTGAGGAGCCATCCCACTCTGCTATGGTGGACAGGACCCAGCCATGGGCACTGAGCTGTCATTTAGAGCCAGTCCTCCAGTTCCTTCACTCACAAAACTCCCCCCTGAATCAGAGTTTCTGCTCACCAAAGACTTCCAGGGCAAAGGAATAATCTCTTCATCTCTCTAGAGCCAGCTGTAAAATTCCAGCCCAGCCACATTATAAAACAGATTATGGCATTAAGCCCTGGCCTCTGCCAGGCTGGAGAGAAAGAAGGGAAGTGGAAGTGAGAGCCTCCTGCTTTATCCAGGACTCCAGGGGGATGGAGCATCCATCAAAAGGCTGCTCCACCACGGTACAGGAGGGGCTGTGACACCCAGCACACACCTGCAGGGCAAGGGGACATTTTGTGGAGCTGTACCACTGTCACAGGAGTTGGCAGGACATAAAATCTGACACTGGTTTGGGTTGGAAGGGACCTCAAGGAAGTTCCAACCCCTTTCCACCAGAAGGTGTTCTAGGAACAGTTTGCCAGCCTCCTTCCCTGTATCCCAGGGCACTTCATCTCAGAAACTACTGCTACAGACAGACTGTCCAGGCTGGGTCTGGAGCACCTGCCCCTCAGCAGTTGCCCTCCTTAGCCCGAGGCAGAATCTGGAATGATGTTTGATGAAATCTCACTGCCCCTTTAGAATAGAAAGGAACAAGTGCAAAGACAAAGATCCCTGCAAATGGCATTTCCCTGGGGAGCAATGTGTCCAAGCTGGAAACATGTCTTGCTAGAATTGCCCACAGGAGAAAAGATCTTTGCAAATGAGCCGTGCCCGGTGTGTGCAAGGTAATTATGCGAGGCTTAATTAAAAGAACATTAGCGGCATTTCCATATTCACAAAAAAACCCGATAGGTTTAGCCTGTTGTTATGGAGGGATTATCTGATGCTCAGAGAAAAGCTGCTGGAGAACCCTTTCAGTTCACTGCAGGGGACTGTGTGAGGCACAAAGAGCTGCTGATACAAACCTCTTCTCCAGTCAAGTAGTACGTGGCCAGCAGCCCTCCGATGTAGCGGATGTTCACCTCGAACAAGGATGCTTCTCCATTCTGAAAGAACACGAGGGTAACACTTGACTGCAAAGTCTGCACAGGTAACTGGCAGCCAAGGGGGAACAGATTGCAGGCAGAACCCTCAGTCTCCCAGTCCCCACCCACAGGGCAGCACAGCTTTTTGCCCAAGATCTCACAGCGCTTTATTTGCTCCACAGTGACAGGTGGAGTCTGAAGGGAAGAGAAACACCCAAATTGCCCCATTTATCACAACACCTAAGTCAGCCAGGGCAGATGTATTGTCCAGCCGGCCCTTTCTTGGGTTAGGCCTTGCAAAGAGCTGTGAGTCAGTTTAGGGTAAAAATTTACCCCTTAAAGTGGTTTTATTTGACGAGGAAACTGTGCAGCCCCACGGAAAAAAATACTTTCCATTTTCTCATGAAGAGGGCACTGCATCAGATGGATGTGATGCAATTCCTGCTTTCCTTTAGGTAGATATTTTCAGTCATTCGAGGACTCACCTGTGTGCAGGCTGGGAGAGGACCAGAGCCTGGTCATATTAAGGGACAGACAGGCTGCGTGGTGTTCGTGTGCCCCACACCCCACAGAGCAGACACACGTGGATGTGGTTCACTGAATCCCTCAGGAACTCACTCACCTGGAACAAGTCCTGCTCTGCCAATTCAGCTGATGATTAGCAAATGTCAAAACAATTGTATTCAAAAAGGCCTATAAAAAATACCTGCTCCTGGCTATCAAATCTGCACCATAAATGATTCCTTACCCTCACACAAACACACAAAGCCAACAACCAGAAAGATCTTCCACCAACACAGCACTCTGAGTGAGCAAAGGGACACTTGAACCTCTGCACTACCCTGCCCTTTGCAAATACCTGCAGGTCACAAATCACAGCAAGTGCTTTCTGGAGATGATGAGTGCAATTGCATGAGACAGATCACAGCACCCAATTTCCAACAGAGCTTGTGGGCCTTGGAGTTCCCATCTCGCTTTTCTGGACTATTGGAGTTCCTTGTACAGAGCCAATATTTAATTAATTTCCCTCCCTGTCTCCCTGTGCTGTGCTCCCTGACTCCACCGATCAATCCATAGCATTCACTCTTGTCTTTACAGATCAATCTATTCTGCAGACCAAGAGTAAAAGCTTTTATGAAATCCAGATAAATTATATCCCAGTTGATATTGTCCCTTGTTTATTGATTCAGTAACAGACTGTGAGGCCATTCACCAAATCCATCAGATGTGGTCTGCCTTTTATGAATCCACGAGTGCCAGTCATGCCCTCCCAAATGATGCTTTTCTAGAAAGGCAGCTGCAGGCATTGTTCACATGGGAGAACCATCTTTCATAACAGCTAGCCTGGCATTAAACAAATAAAAGCTTGAACTGCACTTTGGTTTTAACATTCTCTGTGTGCCACTGAGGAGATCCCATCAGCTGGGCCACAAGAAATGCAAGAGCTGGCCTGGAGGCCAAGGCAGAGCTGTGACTGCACTGCAAGGCATGTGCTGCACCCAGAGCCCCAGCATGTCTAACACAGCTCCCAAAAGTATCTAGGAGAGGCTCAGAAGCCACAGAGAGAAGCACCTCTGGCCATTTTTAGACGTGCTGTTCCTTCCAAACCTCTGCTCTCGCTCTGCTGCCAAGGTGCCACAGTCCCACTGCACAAGTCCCAGCAGTGACACATCAACAAAGGGCCCAGACAAGGAGATCTGTGATTTTAATCTTAATCTACAGCATTTGAAACAGAAACCTTGTCTTATCACAGGCAGACATTTAATTGAGATGAAACAGAACTTGTTCTTTGATGAACAAAACTTCCTTGGAGTGTCTAATAATTACAGCTGTTTTCATAACCCAGACCAAAACACAAAACCATGAAACACTGAATCTTATTTTCAGCCAGACACGGTGAGTCTGACCTGGTGGCCCCTGGCTGGGAGTGAATCATTGTAGTCCCTTTGGCCTTAGAAAGAAAATAATCAGTTGAGTGGTTTCTTCCCCCCACAGACCTCGTGGTTCCCTTCCCCAAAGGATTCTTAGAGAAGACTGTGATCAGAACTGGCTGTACAGGTGACACAGACAGGCATTCCCAGTAAGTGACTCACCACATTCAAGTCAAAGCTCTTCTCCACCCACTTCTTGGCTTCTTGGAATTCCTCCTCGAGTTCCATGATGTAGAGGGTATCTAAGGCATCGATCACAGTTGCTCCTCGAAGGCCTCCTGCATGACAAACACAAGGGAGTGATGAAGCCCCACTCACCCCATCCTCTTCAGCTCCAAACCCATCTGTGGGAGCTGGCACAGGCAGCAGCTCCCAGCCCCAGTACCGGGGATGTTTGGATGGGATCCAGACTGGCCATGGCCTAGGCTGAGATTTTCTACCAGGACTAGTGAGCTTTGCCACCCAAATTTGGAGAGACCCAATTTTCAAAGGCCTGGCACTTCTGAAAGAATTCCCCCAAGGGACAGCTCAAGGTCCACGCTTGAAGCCACCAGTCATGACTGCAAGCCTTGGCCTTTTTTCCAGTCTTGTCTTGGTCAAAGTGGTTGGGCAATTCCAGCTCTAATCTTTGTTTATCTGTAAACATAAATTCAGCCTCTTTCCAACCCAGTTACCAGCACAAGCCTCTTCTATGTGACTGAACTGTATTTTTATTGTGCAAGAGCATCCAAGGCAGGACCTTGATCCTCGTGTCCTCATGCAGGGTTGTTTTTTGGGGTCACAAATCCTTTTGCACCATGCCATGACCCAGGGTGTCCCACCACCAGCATATGGACAGAATACTCCACAGAAAGGAAAAAAGCCACCCCTGGAGGCTGAGAGACCAGAAACCAATCTCAGTGAACCCTGAGCAGAGAGTGGGTGACTTTAGGGACCGGTCCCTTCCTTTGGCCAACAGAACAGTCCCTGTGAGCACAGTCACCATTCCCCAGCAGGTGGCAATGGGACACACGAGGCTGAAGTAAATTCCAACCAAGTACTTGGACCAACCAGGTCATTTATGTAAAAAACTTCATGCCAAGCATTGTCTCATGCAAAAGGACCACAGGAGAGCTCCTAGTGAGGCAGAACGCAGGGTGTGTAGGCAGACAATCTCACAGCAGTTGAGATGAAAAGGAATTAGAGATGTAACAACCCCGGGTTTGGAACACCTCAGCACTGGGGTTTTATTTCTGTCTGGGTTCCCTAAAATTATTCCTGGCACGGGACAGCAAAGGGAACGAAGCACATCGTGACTCAAACCCCTTAATTACGAAGGCCACCCCATTCCTGGATAACTCAGCAAACACAAATCCTCACGTGGAGGACTCCAGTTTGGGATGATCATCAGTCATCCCTCCGTGGATGTAACGCACCAGGGACACAGGCGTGAAGCTGCCTCTGTATCACCATCAGCGAGCTGGGCCCACACACACACACACACTGCTCAGCTGCAGCCACATTCCTGCCCACCCCCTGACAGCCAGACCTTTTGGAATCTCCGGCAGCAAAGACTTGGATGAAGTTCAGCTGTCATTTCTGCAGGAGAAGCTGCTCCTACCAGCTCTGTCCCCATCATCTCCCTTTCCAGCAGAAAGACTCTCACACACTGCTATGCCCAGGGATTTTCCTGAGATTTATTTCTGTTTGGCTCAGGTCAGTCCCTTCTTCTCACCTACAGACTTTAAACTACTATCCCAAATTCCCCCAGTGCCCCCGGCCTTTCATTGCATGCTCAGATTGGTTTGGCACCTCTGTAATACCTTCAGTGTTACTTCAATTCCTGTTCTGCTTAAGAGAGGAAAACCCAGTTGGATGCACTGTTGGGGAACTACTGCAGAGGGGAGGGGAAGGCAAAGGTGAATCAGTTGTCATGAACCCTCAGAATTTGGTCTTTTCTTATTAAGGGAAAAAAAAAGGACTGTGTCTGATGAACATCACCCCCAGAGGAGAAGTGCTGAGATCCAACAATTCCATGTCGGGCTCATTTCTGCTCTCAGCATTCCTCTCCCGTAAGGAAGGATCCTGCCTTATTTTGTTGATGTTACAAGATTGCAGTTTTGACACTTCTCAGCCAGCCAGCACATCATTGCTTTAATAAAAACCCAACCAAGACTTTACTGCTCAACTACAGATTGCTGCCTTTCGGATGATGTCTGCATCAAAAGCAGGAGCTGTGGAAAAGGATGGAGACAGTTGAAACAGCCTCTAGAAATCCATTTATTCCCACAGGCTTGGGAAATGATCCTCTAACCGGAGCCATCTCCGAGGGCGCAAGAGATGGAGTCAAACAGTCACTAGATCAACTGGTGGGTCCTAAAACACAGCTGAGCTGATGTGGGTCTGGAGTGCTTGCCAAAAGCACTGACCAGGAAAAACAACACCATGGCAGGCAGCACTGCTTTTATCAACCTTAATGAACCTTCAATATTAATGATTATGTGATTTTTATACACTTTCCTATTAGCAAGGAGAGACCCGACACAGACGCAGGCAAAGCATTTAAAAAGAGAAGGAAGGGCAATGCCACCTGAGGCACAGCCTGTTACTGTGATGTTCTGAGAGCAACACTAATGGGCTCGATTTAATTTGATGATATAATCAACAAAGCTTTTCATAATCTGCAGAGAGACAATGAGAAAAGTTGGATTTGCTCAAGCTAAACAGAGACAAAGGGACAATAAACTTACAATTTTCTGGGATGATTAATTGAAGTGAAAAATTATTGAATTGACAGAGCCTTTTATGTTTTTAGCAAGTAAGGCCTTTAAATACATGAATTGCATTGGGGATTGGGAACATGCTTGGATCTTTGCTATGGCAGAGCTTGGAGTTGCTCAGCTTTCCTCCCTGTGTTTGACAAAGTGGAGGGCAAACCTCCCTTCCCTGCTGGTTTGTCTTTGTGTCAGTTTAAACATTTGCTTTAAATATTCCCCTAACCCTCTGTATCTGATGAACTGTGTGTTTTGTACAAGGGTCTTGGCAATGTTTCCTTTCTTCTTGACCAGCTTTAAAGCCACTGCAAAGGCACGACTGACTCTCCCAAAGCCCATCACAACACCAGAGCGGCCGCCTCAGCTTCAGCCTCATGAGAATGATAAAAAACCACAGAGCAAACCAGGCATCAGGACTTGGCTCTGCCTGTCACTTGCCAGGACATCCAGGAAGGTCCCTGACTCTGTTACTTCTTTGCTACAGGAACATCTTCCTTCCTTCTTGCTCAGATTTTGCTTCGCCGGGTCACGACAGAGCTCGTGACACAACGTCCAGCAGCTCTGATTATACTCAGCTGTCAAAATATGGTGCTGTCCACATCCCAGTGTGTTCATTACAACATATCCACACCCACTGTAAAGGTGCTGACACCTGCCTGACACGCTCCTTTAGAAATCATCACCTTTCCAAGCCTGCACGTGTGAGGGATATAATCAAAGGGGAAGCAGCTTCAAAAGAAAAAGGAAGCAAACCCCACTGTGTCACTTCTGACTCTTGCTGACACTCTCCTCTCTAAATTGCTGGTTTCAGCCTCATTGTACTCGAGTTTTAAAGTAGAAACCAAGAAACTCTCAGAAGAAACACTCCTGAAAGTACTCAGAGATGGGAGCAGTGGCTTTTAAGCAGGACTCCATGTCTGAGATTCTACCTGTCTCCACAAACCTAAGGCTCTGAGTGCTATGAAGAGCTCCCCCTAATCCTGCTCCAAAACTGACTTGGAGTGGAGATACACCTCACCTGGGAGAGGCAAAGTCACTCTGCTGATGCCCAAAAGGGAAGGTGGGTCTATGGGGCACAGCTTTGGGATCCACACCAGCTCCTGCACCGCCCAGTGAGAGCACACAGTCCTCCTGAATGGGATGATCCTCCTCCACCGGGACCAGGGAGAAGAACTGGGACCTCAGGTGGAACTCAGGGATGCTTGTCTGGGGACATTTCCAGCTGAAGGACTTCAGAGCAGCTCTTGTCACAGCACGTGGCAGGGCCTCTGCCTGGGGTTCCACCCGTGAGTGAACAGCAAGAGAGGAGAAGCAGCAGCTCATGGAAGCAAGACAAAGGTTCATCTCTTCTTGAGCCGAAGGAGGGCCTGTACCACCCTGCATTTGCTCTTTTGTGCACAAAAAGAATGGAGATAGGAGTGTAGGCAACAAGGCTGCTCTGTTCCTGCTCCCACCCACCCAGAGGAGTGAGCACTGCCACAGAGAGCACTAACAAACATTACATTAATTAACAGAATGCTTGTGAAAGGTGCTGAATGGAGCCTCCACGGAGAGGAGCTGGCATTGTACTCACACCGTGCCCCCACGGCTCCCTGGGAATGTGCTCTAATGCCAGTCTGGAGGAACAGACCTTCCATGCAGCAGAGCTTCAGAAGGGCTTTCATGGGGAATTAATGGCAGTGCTATCTCTAAAAACCCCAGATAAAGCCCAGAGCAGCTTGTTCTGCTCTGGGGTACATAATCTGAATAAGAAGGGCTCATCCTCTTCTTCTGTCCTTGATGCCTGATAGCTCAGGGGCTCTAAGGAGCCATTTGCAGCAAGAGTTCATAAGACAAAGCACAATTCCAAAGGCTCATTAGGAGGTTTAACGTGTGTCACTGGGCCAGGGCAGGGGGGGGACACCTTGGAAGACACATGCCAACCTCAATGACCAAAGGGACTAACAGGTACAAAAGTCTGCCAGGTTACAGCCAAGTCCAGGACACCAGGGAGCTGCCAGCCAGGTGAGGGACAACCCTCCTAGAGCCCCTGGCAGAGCACAGGGCAGAAGGGAAGAGCTGCCACCGTGGCCTGGGGCTCCTCTGACCCCAACAGGAAGATCTGTATGGACTCTGAACCAAGAAGTGACAGAAGTGGGATCCGGATCACAAGCCAGAGGGTGGGAAAAGCTCCAAGTCAGGTGAGTGGGGAACCTACAAGTAACAGATGGGGGTCCCTGGCACAAGCACAGGATTCACTCATCTGCACATGTCCCATGGCCCTGCTCTCCTCCAGCATCCCCGGGCGTGGAGGAGAACAGGGAGCAGTTTCTTCTCCATGGATGGTTTACAGGGAGGCCACGAGGGCTCTCATAGGAGGGGAGTACCTGCCCTGCCACCTGCCAGACATGAAAGGCATAATTAAGGCTTGAAAAGCACTGCACAGCACCAAGCAGGGACTAAGTATAACTATGGTAACAATCACAACTGCTGCTCTGCCAGTGAACTTCCTTTTAGCTACCCATTATCTGCAAATCAAACCCACC